GAATCATAGATTTTAATTAAAATTGTATAAATATTGCGCTACAGTGCATTTACAAGCATAACTTTAAATTGATAAATTCCGAGGCTATACATGGCAACATAAAAATAAAAATTATGTTTGCTACAACACATCGTAATAATTATGAGTACGGGATGCTTAGATAATTGCACGACGTTACGACGAAATCCATACTTAAAGGTAAAATTACAAACTCTATAAAGCATTAAGCATGTGTATGCGTAGAAGCCTCGAGCCCGGTGAATCGACGTATAATATATCGATAAAAGGGAAGGACCAGAGAGATTTGCAGATAGATGGATAGACAGATTGCTAAAAGAGATTGAGAGTGAGGGCGGGGGTCGGGAGGGTGGTTTTGTGGGCGGGGGAGGTATGAAGGGGTGAGAGAATCAAGAGAAAATCGGGCTGGAAAAGCTCGCGAGATAAAGTTAGTCGAGACATGGGATCGAAGAGGCCGGAAAGAGGCCGAGCGAGTCTGCGAGACCCGCGAGCGATTTTCTTTCCCGTCGCCCCTCCGAGACAGACGGGCGTGTGCGCCCCCCCCCTCCCCCATCCGCCCCTCATCGTCCCCGCATCGGCAATCGCCCGCAGACTCTTTCGCGAATTGCGCGATCGATGACGAGAGAGATAAGCGAAACGGCGGTCCCTGCTTTCTTTTCTAACCTTTGGGGCTTTCGGGGCGCCGGGACGCTCAACTCGATACATTCATTATGATTATCAATCAAGATAACCGTGGGGCAATCGCTTTCGGATATCTCGCATTCGAGTCTTATTTTTATAGCTTCCAGTCCATAGAATCACGGCATACGTGATGATATAAAAGCTAACCCAGATTGGCACGAGCCAAATAAGCAAATGTTCCTATTCAATACTACAAAAGTCCTTACATTACCGACATCTAATTAACTGTTGGAGCAAACTTGTATGTTGCCGTAATAAACAGATAGATAAAGAGCTATAAAACCACCCATAAAACATAATCAATAACAATCGATGCTTGTGGAAATTATATTTATTAAAAACTACAAGCAAACTACGGCAATTTAATTGAATAATTCATGATAATACGGTATTAAGTGTGCAATTTGAATGTTCGCTTATTTATTTAGGACTTAAAAAAAAATTGATAACATTCCCTCTTGCGCGTAATGTTAAGAATTTTGCATGAAATTAAATTCAAGTATACTTTTTTGCGCTTCTAAAAATATAAATCTTTCAAATAAACCTTACGTACATTTTTAGCCAAAAATAAAAAACAAAAAAAAACAAAAAAAAAAACAACAAAAAAACAAAAAGAAACATTGAAATTTATTTAATACTACGAGGATGTATTTAAAAGTGAGATTTATCGGGAAATAATATAAACGTGTAGTTTAAATTTTAGTATTTGAAAATACTTTGTATGCAAAGAGCTTTTTCCGTACTATTGATAATATTTACCAGTTTTAATGATAAATATGATAAATGCCATTATTCACAATTTCGTTGAAATAACGTGTCGTCTCTAAAATTTGTGAATTAGAATACAAAACGATATCTTTTAAATTTAAAAATATTTAATTTCCATTTTTCTATCTCTTAAAACGTGTTTTTTAAGATCTATAATGTTCATTGGATACTTTTACCAATTACTATTCTCTTCGCATCTATCACCTTTTACTGAATAATTTCAGAAACAATAATTACAAAAATTTCTTAAAGCTTTAAATCTATAAATCTATAATATAAGAATATAAATTTCTAAACTTTTGCATCTAATGGAATTTCTTAAATATACACTTTGAACAACTTAAATATCTAAGCGTATGGAGACAATTGATATTCGAACGGCATTTATCTATTAAACTTCACAATTATTGACTTTCTGTTAACCCTACAAAAATTTATCCCTTGAAAGAATAATATCGTAATGACGATTAAGCCAAAGAATTATTTATAACTAGTCTGCATACATTTTTTATAAGGGTACAGAAATAAATTTAAATGTACTTCTTTAAATATGAATAGAATCTACTGCATAAACCTTAAAAATACGAAATCTTAAACTGCAATGCATTTAAGAACTTTTTTCTTCTTATTCTTCTTCTTCTTCTACTTCTTCTTCTTCTTCTTCTTCTTCTTCTTCTTCTTCTTCTTATTCTTAACGCTATTATTCTAATATTGTATTATATATAAAAATAGCCATTAAAAAAATTAATCAAAAGCAAAAAATTAATCATAAGCATGCAGTTTGTTTGATTTTCATAAAATACAATTTTTTTAAAAGCTCATAATTTTTATGCAAAGTCTTCTGAATACGTTGCGAATAATTTAGCAGAAAACAAACCGATATCGAGTTAAAATATTAAAAAAATAACAATAATAATAATAATAATAATAGTAATAATAATAATAATATTTTATTATATAATTAAGTACTATAATTGTAAATAAGAATGTGTACATTTTATTTACTTCGATACTATTTTACGTGTTTTTTATTCAATATATTAATTTTTTTTTAAAAAAAAAAAAACAAAAAATCATAATCTTTGTCAATTAAATATAAAATATAATTGTCATGGTTTTGTAATTCCTTTTGTGACTGATAAAATATTTTTAAGCGTACTTCAATATAAATGCATAAAGTAGTTAATTTACTCGTTTACTTTTGATATAAATATCTATGCAGAATATAAAAATAATATATAAAATAGAGATTACAACTTACTTTTAAAACTACTTCAAGAACAATTAATATTAAATATGACGTATAAAAAGGCTTTGATAGTTTATTTAACAACACGTAAGTTCCATACTTACAAAAAGTATTTTATGGATAAAAGGAAAATAGCAGGAATCAATTTTATATCCATATTTTATCCCAACACTTTACTACTAGTGAATTGTTATTAAAATGATTATGTTAGGAGGAGTTTTACCGGTAATTTAATTAAAAGGTTATTTTTCGTTAATAATATAGGCTTCGCGTTTACTTAAACTACATTACATATTATAAAGACTTTTAAAATGAATCATTTTTAATGCCATGTTATTACTTTGCACTTACTCGTAAAAACAAAACCAGTTTCGTGTTTACTTTCATTTTTACGGCCTAGTTTAACATCAAACCCTCATCAAAACTATATATATATATATATATATATATATATATATATATATATATATATATATATATATATATATATATATATATATATATATATATATATATATATATATATAAGCGCGCTCACGCACACACGCACACACGCGCGCGCGCACACACACACACACACACACAGAGAGTTTATTACAGTTCTCACTTTGATATTAAGCTTGAAAAAATAATCTTTTAAAAAATTGACTTTGTTTTATCACGAAGAAAAAAAATACCTACACTAACTGATAAATAAATGAAAAATCGTAGAATCATTAAAGTTTCGTAATAACATGCATCAATAATTTTTTCATAAGCTAGAGACTAAGTGTAACGTATGCTTGAGTTGCAGCCGCTAGTTGCAATATTGAAGAGGGTGAAAAAGTCGTCGTTCAATGCTCATTAACAGGACTGGCAAGCACAATTTATAGAAAAAGGGACGTGACCCAGTCACATTTGTTATATACATACGTTATATAAGGTAAACAACACGTACAAGAACGACAAGGCGACTACTCTGTGCAAAATTTATCTTTTAGATACACGTAAGATTGTGTAAACGTTCATATTTCGCATACGGATTACACCTACGATAATATTTTTTCATTAGCCTATTCTATTAATACTTTATTTTCTTAATATATAAGTGCATTAATATATATAATATATCTATTGAGCAAATTTTCGTAAAGTAAATACTTAATAATTCACGTAACAACATTGAAAATATAAAGCAGGCCTCGTTGATGAACAAATTATAATTTACCAATTAATAACAGAATATTAATTAATTACTATTCCTAAGGTTCTTTATACACATGACATGCATACTTTGGATAGCAATGAGAAAACTGCAGTTAACGATCCTTAATATTGTATATTGTTACGTGTATTGTTAAATTTCGAATAGGAATGATTTGAAAATTTTATATATTTACATCATCAACATAATTTTTGACATTTAATATTGAAGACTTGGAAAATTATAAAAAATATGGATGTTTCTCATTTACATGCAACATAGTACAGTGTATATGTATATTTATAGAATATATAATATAGGAGTTGTCACGAGCCTTAAAATTAATTTACCATTAAAGCATTAAAAACAATGTAAAAATAATTTTATTAAATAAATAAAAATCTTAATTATATTAATTTACAAACATTTATTAAAGTAAGAAATTCTTTTGCAAAAATATATAATTAATTTTTACTCTTATTAATATAAGTCTTTAAATTGTTTATAAAATATAGTGAACGATCGTCTGTACGCGTGACCCTTACATTCTTTATACATTATATTTAACATTATATACGGATATATCCAATGTTTATTATGTACATGGAATGTATGCGTTGAAATTCATATACGCGTAAAGGACAGAAGAAAAAAAAGTATGCGATTTTCAAAATACGCGCTCGTTAGCAACTTTTCCAACCAATGCAAAAGGTGTTCGACGCATACCTGCAATTTAGGATGGCGGATACACACGTAAGTCATCCGTGCACATACATAAATGCTGTAGTGAAAAATAAACATTATTTAATTTTATTCACATAATGCTTACTCTTTTTTTTTTCTCTGCACCGTAAATTTCCCTTCTTTTCTTCATCCGATATGGCAAATTTGATCAAAGTTTAGCTAATCCACTTAATTTTTATACAAACAGTAAACATTCTGTTTAATCAAAGTTAGCTTAATTTTATAATACTTTGTAGATAATGTACATAGGAATTAGTATAAATTCTAGATAAATAATTTCTCTATAATATAACTTATTAAATAAAAAAGACTATTAGAAAATTGCAAAGAAAACAAAAAACTATAAGTATTTTATCCATGAACAAGAGATTGTGCGTAAATATTAATATCTAGGATTCGATGGCTGTTTATGTGTGTTTTTCAGCTTCTTTTTCAATTCTTCCTTTCTTTTAAATTCTTCCTGTAATTCTCTTTGCTTGCGTTTTCTTTCTAATCTCATCTCTTCATCTGAAATTGCTATGAAATTGCGATATAGAATTTATATTCTTAATTATTTTTTTTTTTTTTTTTTTTTTTTTTTTTTTTTTTTTTTTTTTTTTTTTAATAGAACTGTAATTTTTAAATGTCATTAATTTTTTTTTCCATACCGGTCGATCCATTAGTTTTAGGCACTTCATCTTTAGTCTCTTTTTTCACATCATTCGCTATGTTTAACTTGTTATTATTGATAAATTGCGCATCAACTGGAATTATTATAATGTAAGTATTGAATAATATAAGTACGTTATAATAAGTTAAAAATTATTTTGCAAATACCTATTGATTTACTTGCTTCGGAGAGGCCAATCACAGCTTCAGTCTCAACTTTATTGACATTATTGATATCCGTATTTTTTGGTGCACCATCTGCTTAAAGTTAGTTGTCAAAATTTAATCCTTTTAAAAATTATTTATAAATTTGTCAAAACGAATAATATTAATTATTGAAACCTGTAGATGGCTTTAATGTATCTATCTTTACATTTTTAGAATAAACGATAATGGCGTCTGATTTTTTATCTTTATTGTATAATTGATCTAAATCAACCATATCCATCATTGCATCGGTCTGGGATATTTGAACAGTCTCTTTAAATGGCTCTACATCCGTATAATAATAATAAATTGTAGGAGCAAATAGTCTAAGAATTTTCATTATGTACTCTTACCAATATTATCTGTGTCAGTCAAATTATTGGCTTTATTATGGGGGGATTCGTTTTGTGTATTTTTTGTTGGTAAGGAGCAGCTGGATCCATTAGATAATCTGCTGATTTTAATTTTAATCTCAGTGCCAAAGCAATTCAATGCCTTTTTAAAAGCATCATTTAAGGAAATCTGCAATAAATTCACAATTATTTCTTAGAAAATTCCTATAATTATTATTTTCACCAGCCGTCGTTTGTTAGCAATAGTAATATACCATTCTGGATTTTTGAATAGCCGATCCCTTAGAAGACCCTTCGATATTACAATATCCAATACCTTCGTGAAAAGTTCCATCCCTCCTTTGGACTCTAACAATGGAAGCACAACCTACCTGATATTTGCCTGTATTGTAATCGATAAAATCTAAAAGCAGAGGACAAAAATTTAGTAAAATTAATGAAAACATAGTACTTTTACGACAATCCAATGCTCACTGCATCACAATTCATAAATAATGTTTTATTATCTACCAAGAGTTTGATTCGTAATTGCATGACTCCAATTATCTAGACCAAACATTTCATTGGCTATTTGAATTAATTGCGAATACAAGGCACCGTGGTCGTTGGCATATTCTTTACTTGACATTTTCGACAAATCATTTCTTGAACTGGGCTATCAATGAAAAATACGTATACAAGAATTATAACGAGCGGCACTGAGAATCCGTTCGAAATGCAATGATAAAACAAATCAAGCTCCAAATTGGCTCGGGATTATACTTACAAATTTTATACAACTCATGATTAACTTTCTTATTGGTCAGCGTAAAATAAAACAAAACATAACCTCGATAAACAGAGTCGTGCTAGCGTAAGCATGAATTTTATTTATTATTCCATTCGGCAGAATTTGCACCACGCGACTCCTTAACTACATAGGCTATAAATAATTTATCCATCGGCTGCCTCTAAAAGCCATAGTAGACATAAAGCAACAAATGCTAGATCGTTTGGATTCTGGGCCATCGAGTCTACGTCATTAATGCTCCCACCAACACATGCAAGACTAAAGCCCAACACATATAGGTGGCGGTGTCAGCTAAGCATCGATGGGGCGGAGTGACGTCGCCGCTGTTTCATCTCTGACGTAATTGCATCGTCATTCGGCCCAGAGCGACGCAGTTCTCGTAAATTGGCGAGCGAATATTTAAAATCATACTAGCGTCATGACCCGGCTGGTGGGGCTCGTCGGTGCGGCGTGCGGTTAGGACGGTAACGGGGTTAGGGGGGTGGGGGGGGGGGGGGTGGGGGGGGGGGGGGGGGGATGGCTGTCGTCACCTGCTCGAAATTAGAATGTGAATAGGCGGGGTGGAGGATATAAGGGCTCGGTGGAACCTTGGATCCGAACAAACGTGAAAAAGACTTTGGTCACGGGGGAGACGAAAGCAATATTATACTTAAAGTGGATGGCAAGTATTTAAAAGCTCCGGAGGAGGGTCGATAAGATACTTTCACCGAGATAACTTGTCTAGATGCTCAAAGAGCCTATTTTCGTACGATTGCCATGTGTGCATTGAGTGATAGTCAACTCGGAGCGCACGTATTTAACGGAGAATTTAATATAAAATTTTATGCCCGAGAAATTAAGTTTCATTTTATTATACGCGGGAGATGTATTAATGGGGATGATATTAAAATGATGTAAAAATACCAATGATCTAGCAATACCAGAATAATGCACGATGGAAAGGTATTTTATTAAGAAATTTTTTAAATAATCCAGTCGACTACTTGACATTGTTTAAATCCTGTTGGAGTGTATAAAATAATACATATAAAAGATACAGAATAGATCAGTTTGAAAAAACACTTAAATAAATTATTAAATGTCATTGTGTTTTTATGTTTTATGTTTTTTTTTTTTTTTTTTTTTTTTTTTTTTTTTTTTTTTTTTTTTTTATATAATATTATTATTCTTTAAGCCATTTCAATTAGAATTAATATTTTCAGGATATTACGACGAGCCTACGCGTTTTTATCAATATTTCCTGCACGAACTTCCTTTACTTCCGGTACGTTTTAAGCAACCTTAGAACGCAATGACAATTATATTTAATAAAACTCAAACTCTGTATTCACTGACTCATGCCTTTAATAATCTGTGCTTTAGATTAACGTTGCGTTCCCGCGACTTTATTTCTTTTCACTGGCAGAGAGATTAAAGAGAATAAAAAAAAATGCTTAAAATATTATTTTTATAGCGTTTTATGCTATGTGCCTATACTCGGAATATGAGTAATACCGTTTTATTCCTACTTTCATCATAATCTTATTAATATTGTTTCGATGCACACGCGCATACAAAGGAATTATATGTATATGTAAATATCTTTTTTTTTTTTTTTTTTAGCCGCTACTTGCATAGATGTTGTTATATTATAACAACTTATAAATTCATGTTTAACTTATGGTCTGACGTCTCCTGAAAAGATTATTCTCATTACTTTGCTGCCCCTGCTGATTCAAGGTAGTTTGCAATTCCGTCAATAGATTAATGTCAAATTACATGATATATTAAAAGTTAAAAATCCAATCACTTCTATCGTGCTCTATTGATCAATTGCCCTTTCTACACTCTTCAAATTATACAAATAATAAAAAGCTAATGCCGCTTGCAGTTCATACTTTGTACTCCACCTTCCCGGCAACATTTTTATAGTTCAGATGAATTCTGCCTACGGCGACATCTGTGAGGAATCGCTGATATTTTGTGCGTTGGTATTATGTTAATTACACGTGGCGCTAGAGGGCGCAGTTGAAACGAATTCCCCGCCTTTTTACTCCAAACAACTTAAGTTTTTTATTAATATTCGTCCATTTCTACATTATGTCCTCCTAATACGGACTACAATTTTTAAATGTCACATTATCGTCAATTCGATTGCTAATAAATGAATATAATGATAATATATATATATATATATATATATATATATATATATATAAGTATTTTCATACAGACTTCATATCGCCCAGTCGATAAATAGTTTAATCTTGCTTAAAATGCATAAAGGAAAATGTATATTTAAATTTAAATTAATTAAACAGGCAAAACGCCGTAATATATGGTATTATGGTAGTAGACTTTTTGCAAATACATAAACAATTATCATAATGTTTCAACGTGTCTGAATGCGAGTTTATTTCAATAGCGGATATCTGCGATATTTTAGAATATTTTAATAATACGTAACGTACAAATTTAATATTATAATGCCTAGTACACGTATGTGGATTGATTCATTCAAACTTATGAGAAAATGATGTTGTATGAAAAAATATTTGCATTTTAGATCCTATTAGAATTCATAGCTTAATAAAAAAAATAGAAAAGAAAAGAAAAAAAAATTAAATAACAAATAGCCTTTTCACAGCGCACGATCGACAAATACGATGGCGAAGAAAAGAAAGAGAGTAAAAAAAAAGGATCCCTAATTATCTAAAAATCAATCAAAGTTTCGTACTTATAAAGGCGATATTCTTGTAATTTTGAGCAGAGTTTGTTCGGCATGTCGCGCTACCCGACGGACACCCAATGGAAGCCGGACGATTACGAGTGTCCCAACAACACATCCAAACGCGCCCTTAAACTCGTTACTAACGTTACCGCTCCCGACCACTGCATTGCGCGCGCGCCTTAAAGCCCAGTCCGGAGCATCGCCGCTACTACGAGCTCCGTGTCGCTCTCTTTCTCTCTCTCACGGCCCATTCCGATCCTGCTTCTCTCTCTGCTTCCGGCCAGCAGGCGCACCATCGCGACCAATAGCAACCTCGGCAAATGCTTTCGATTCCGTCTCGCGACAGTCGTCGCCTGCATCACTAAAAGAGAATCTCGCTACCGTAGCAGAAGAGCGCGACTTAGCCTCTTCTTCTCGTAGCGCAACGAGGACGTACGTTAACCTGGTGGTGGCGCGAGTGGCCAGGGGACAGGGAAGCCGATAGGTCCGTCTCTCTCGCGCGCCTTGAGCAGTGCGTGTACACACGCGCGTACGTGCGGTGGATTAAGAGAAAGAGAAGCAGCGTTGACGGAGGAAAAAGTACACGCGCGTTCGGCTCAGCCCATACGTATCCTCCGCCGGGATCTTCGACCGCCGTCTCCCTTCCCCATTCTCGTTGAACAATATACGCGGCATAATAATCGCGCCTCCTCGAGCCAGTGCAGCAGCAAACGTCGTTCCTCGTATACCGTTTGCAACGTCGTCTTTGTCGTCAACGGAGTCGTCGTCGCCGCCGCCGCCGTCGTTCATCCTCCTCGGCGCCTCGTTCATTGACATTTGACAGCTGAGAAAGAAAAACAGTGGTAGGGAGGATACAGTGCAACGTCTCCAAGGATTCGATCTTCAGTCAACTCGAGACACCTTCCTTCCATCCATCCATCCATCCATCCATCCATCCATCCATCCATCCATCCATCCATCCATCCATCCATCCATCCATCCATCCATCCATCCATCCATCCATCCATCCATCCATCCATCCATCCATCCATCCATCCATCCATCCATCCATCCATCCATCCATCCATCCATCCATCCATCCATCCATCCATCCATCCATCCATCCATCCATCCATCCATCCATCCATCCATCCATCCATCCATCCATCCATCCATCCATCCATCCATCCATCCATCCATCCATCCATCCATCCATCCATCCATCCATCCATCCATCCATCCATCCATCCATCCATCCATCCATCCATCCATCCATCCATCCATCCATCCATCCATCCATCCATCCATCCATCCATCCATCCATCCATCCATCCATCCATCCATCCATCCATCCATCCATCCATCCATCCATCCATCCATCCATCCATCCATCCATCCATCCATCCATCCATCCATCCATCCATCCATCCATCCATCCATCCATCCATCCATCCATCCATCCATCCATCCATCCGTCCATCCTTCTTCCATTCATCCTTTCTACCTTCCTCCCTGCCTTTCCTCCTATCACTTTGTAAAAGAACCTTCCCCTTCTTTAAACCCCCCGATCCCACCCTCCACCCAGAAGAGCGCGAGCATTGCACAATTTGCCAAGAAGTGCCAAGTGGGAAGAAGTACGACAATAATAATAATTAAAAAAGCGTAGGCGTAGTTGTCGTCGTCGTCGGCGTCGGCGTCGCCGCCGTCGTCGTCGTCGTCGTCGTCGTCGTCGTCGTCGTCGTTGTTGTCGTTGTCGTTGTCGTTGTCGTTGTCGTCGTCATCGCTCAAAAGAGCGTGAATCACACTGGTCGGCGCTACGTAGGAAAAACCTTCCTTTCTATCTTTATTTATTTCAATTTTTTTTTCCTTTCCTTACATTTTTCCACCCCGTGTTGATCGAAACTCCAAAAGACATTATTTTTAACGTTCGAATTTTCTCTGATGCATTCGCGTTGTAAAGCCGCTCTTTCGTTACAGCGACCATTTACGATTATTAAAGATTACCAAGGTAAGCGGAGGGAGAATTTATTAAACTGGGAATAGGATCGGGGAGGAAAGTTTGATAGTGTGCGTGGAAGAAGTAGTCTGGCAGGGATCAAAGCTCGCGCAACAGAGCGGCCAAACAAACAAACATCCTTAGGACGACTGTGAATTTTAAGGAGGAAAAAAAAAACAAAAACATAAAAAGAAATCTAGTGACCACGCGACCACTCGCTTCGAAATAAAAGGAGCGAAACTCGACGTGTAAATTAAAGTAGCGTAGACAGTGTCAGGTGAATCAGCCGGCGTGAATCAGCGAACGGCAGGAGTGGAGGAAGCATAAATTGAAAAGGCTAGAATGTCGGAGTTTGTGGAACATCAGCATCAGCGGCAGCAACAACCACTGCAGCCACCGCCGCCGCCGCCGCCGCTGTCACAACAGCAGCAGCAGCAGCCGTTAAAACCACTGAAGCGCGAGCTCGACTCGACCGACGATTTCGAGCACCTCGAGCACGAACTCCAGCAGACGCATCAGCAACCCCTCCTCGATCTCTCCAACAACTTGGTGGACTTTGATCGAATGTCCGGGGGCCCGCAGTCGCATAATCAGCTCGACGGCCCGGCGGAAGAGGGGCCCGAGAGGCGCAACCTCTTGGACACGAGCGTGCCCGCGAGCAATGGCATCGAGTGCGACCTGAAACCGGTCCCGGCAACCCCGCCGCCCTCTGCCGACCTCGAGAAGTTCGACCTAGGAGGATCGTCGCTGCGAAACGAATCGAGGGACGAGCTGGGGACCCGGCTTCGCGAGCAGCTCGAGGACTTCAAGGATGCGCGCATGAATGTCCTCGACAATGATTACGAGGAGGGACAGTGGAAGCCCGAGAGCCCGATCAAGTACCAGCACGACAACATACTGCTCAACCACGATAAGTACACCGACGACGATGATAACGTCAACGACCACGGGGACAACGTGGACGTGGACGACGAGGATACGTTCGCTCGCGAGGAATTCGGCTCGGTCAAGAAGCACGAGCCCCCGATAACCCTCTACGGCTTCGGTGACATAAAGTCCTCGTCCCTGCCGGAGCCCGAGAACTCGCCGGAGCTCGACTTCGTCAAGGACGAGATAATCGTGCACGAGGCGACCTGCGAGTTACCGCGACATCGCGAGCCCGAGCTCTGGAACGTCCTCGAGAAGAGCGGCAACGATCGGTTCGAGGAGCGCGAAGTGTTGCACGAGGAGCCGCCCAACAAGCCCCTGCCGCCCATCCCCGCGAGCACCGAGCCCGAGCTCTTTCACGACGAGGACTCCTTGACCGACCTCAGCGAGGCCGACATCATCGATGAGGAGAAGCTCGAGCCCAAGCCCGATCCCTCGCCGACGAAAAGCCTCGGCCGGCCTATGACCGCCACGCCCCAACTGTCCAACGCCCCCGAGAGGAAGTTTTACCGCGAAGAGCCGACCAAGAGCAGAGAGATCGAGGAGATCGCGCCCAAAGACATCTTCCGGCGAATTGGAATTGGTGAGTCGAATGCACAGCTTCCCTTCGCCCTTCTCAACTACCGAACTCTGCATCCGCTTACGACGCCAATGCACCACCAGCATCCTCACTCCAACCTATTATAACCGATATCATTTCCCTCTATCCCGATATCATAAGGCTCTCGCCTTGTTATCGGCTCGTTGCGCACTACGGTCGTTGAACCCCCGTCGATAGATCCGCGAGATCCAATTTAATTATGGAGTGCACGAGTGCACGTGCCGCGTGAGGCTTAAAGCGAGTTGGAAGCGATCCGATGAGAAGCAACGGTCGCCGTTAGGCTGCCGACCCCCGCCGAAGCGAAACTCGCGCGCGAAATTGGCGCGATCGGGATGATTTGATCATTCCGAGCACTCCGCGTCAAATAACTAGGACTAATGGACAAAACCGGTCGTTTCGTAGGTACATGTCTACGATCGAGAACGGATAGAGATTGAGAGTGAGAGAGAGGATCGCGAAAAGTCGTCTGAAAATAGACGCTAGGCGCCTTAGGATAGACGAGAGAGAGAGAGAGAGAGAGAGAGAGGCGTGGGAAGAGTCTGTTGTTGCGGACTCCCAATCCACGTAAGCTGGAGGAGATTCGATGCGCGGGTGCGCCAATATCGTGCCAATAATTTGCGACCTCGTAAAGCCCTCGAGCCTGACGAATCTTCTCTCGGAGCGGAAACTCGCACAAGTGAACCAAGTACATGGCCGCGACGGCACTTTCTTTCTTTCTTTACGTCGCTGACACTTGGCCGTTGAGTGCCAGAGTCTCGGTGAAAGCGTTCGCCTATCCTTGCTCCTTCCCCCTTTTTCCCTTTCATTCTATCTTTCTCTTTATTGTGTATGTTCGCTCGCCCTTTTATCCTTTACTTTATGCGTTTTTTCTTCTGTTTTGTTCCTTTTACGAAGATCGTGAATATCTAGCGCAATTTCTCTACTGCCCGCGCATTCTTTTGTAATTACACGAGGTTATTTTCAGCCTCGATCGACATTTGCCGCTCGCTGTGCTTTAACGCCACGACATCGTTTCGCGCGTTATTTTTACAACTGGCATCCTTGGAGAAAAGGATCGTTGACCATTGGATGTTAAATGTTCGGCCTTGGGAGAGATAGAGATAGGGGGGGGGGGAGGAGGAGGATGTCTTAGCGGGCGTAAAAAGTTGAGCGATGGATTGTCAAAAAATGCGTACTCGAATTAATTTATTGAAAAATTTAATGGGCATAGCCTATATAATCGCATAAAATAATTAGTTTATTAGCATTGCTCGCAATCCATTAATTATCCTCTATAAATTGTATATAAATTAAGAATTTGCTGCTGCTTATAATCGTAAGATATTCATCAAGATAGTGGTGCGATTTATTTAAATTAATACAAAATAAAAAGAAAATAACTGAGCCCCGCTTCTTGAATTATGCAGATTATTAGGTTTGCCGAATACGCGTGTCGCTTCATAAAATCGCCAACACTCGCGAAGGATTCGAGTGCATTGGAACGATAATTCACCACGAGCAGGAAGTTAATGTAGGGACACTAGAAGAGTACGTTAAAATACGCAGGTCCGTTTAACCGAGGATGTTCCTCTCATTTGGTGGATCATATTTTCCGCAATTTACATTAATTGTTAAGGCGATGTTGATAAATGTGACTGGAGTATTTCATAATTCCACGTTTAATCATCATTATTATTATTACTATTATTATTATTATTATTATTATTGTTATTATTATTATTATTATTATTATTATTATTATTAGGTAGAGATGAGATTTTTCAACGGCAATTTGGAAACTCGGTAGTTTGACAATTGAAAAACTTTATCGCTCGATGGATGGTCGGATGGAGTTTAGTATCTAACGCCAATGATTTAAGCTTCGATAATCGTTATATAAGACATTGTTGTCGTTAAAAAATATAATATTAAACATAATACCGATGGACCATATTGCCGTCACGTTTATACGAGAGAGTAAGTATTATCGAGTAAATCGTGCTCAAATTGCTCCCTTTTCCATTCAATTTCTTTATAATAAAATTAATGGTTTAATTGCCATCTTATTACGTAATGACACGCTCGAATATTTAATTGATATTTGATAAAAATGCCACTGTGCGCTCAGCAATACGACCAATGTTCCATCGAATAGTAGGACGTTTGGCAAAGATAATCAATGTGGAAAATGTTGTATGGAACGTAACACATGAAAATAATTCCCCCCTCGATATCTCGATTACACGATTCCAATGTACAATTTACCGCTAACTTTCTACGATTTTTATATTGAGCTAAAAATAACTAACAGTCTTCTATCCCCTTTATTTTATGTTGAGAGCTAACTTTTTCTACATAGAGATGACGTGTTTTTTGTAGTTGACATTTAATAATGACCAATAGCGATTTTAATCTCTATTTATTAAAAAATATTTACGACGAATATGGAGCTATATTTTTTTTTTTTTTTTTAGCAACATTAGGATAATTAATAAAGAAAGAGATTTTGTTTTATTATGTCTCTTAAAAACAAAAGTCCTGCTCGATTATTATGTTGTAATTCTTTCAACGGTCAAATTAGAAAGAGAGAAAGCGTAGTGTCGCTTATAATTTTAACACGAGAATTGAAATATTGAAGCAAGTCTTTTTTTCTAGAACTTTTGTTTCCTTAAAATTTTCGCTTTCGAAACTTTTAACCGAAGACTTAAATCGTCTTGATTAAATGCGCGACGTGAATATGTCTGTCGCTGTATCACAAAGCACGGATATTTTTTTCCATAACTTCGTATATTATCATAACAAAATATATATAAAGTTTTCAATTCTTAAGTTGTGGCATTGAAATCATATTTTTAACTAGAAGGAAAGTAGCCTTTGTAATACACATTTTACAATTTCTTTGTCGTTGTACCATCAATTTTTTTTTACAGAATTTGGTGTACAATAATATTTTGCTACAAATAACTTTACAACTCCTTCTAAATATTAATTGCTTTTATCGTTTCTTTTATATAATATGCCATTGATATATTACATTCAATTATTAGTAATACTCGTGCTTATTTGTCTTTTTTTTTTTTTTTTTTTTTGATTTTTTTTTGTTTTTTTTTTTGATTTTTTGACTTTCATCATTATCGTGCCCAATACTTTTACATGAATTATATAATTTTTGTTAAAATATTGAATTTTATAAAAGAGAAAAAAAAGAATAAGCGCCCAACTTTAGAGAATTAAAAAAAAAAAACAATCAGAAAGAGAACATTTCGCTGCTTAGAATATAATCTAATAATAGAAGTTAAATCACTAGTATCAAGAAATATCCCAATGATGAATCAGAGAAGTGGCAAAATCTTTTTTAAGGCGATCTTACGAAATGTAAAAATACGAAAACAAGAATACGTATAGTTTTCAATGTACATTAAGTATAGAAATGAATAGTCTGTTAATATTGTTGAACTTTGTTTATTACATTGTGGAGATGAAATATTTGAAATATTTATAATTCAAGTAGCGTATATGTAATTCTTTATTTATTGTTTTTTCATTGGAAATTGTAATTATAAGTAAAGATTCTAAAGTAGCTCATAATTTATGAAAGTTATCAAAAATTATATTTTTCATCCATAATTATATTTACGTATGTCGGATTGGTTATTATTAAACGCGCATCTTACTTTACAATCAATAGAAGTTTTTCACCTGAAATTTTAATTAAAAAGTTTCCAAGGATCGTTACACTTCACTGCTGCCGTACATAATATAATTCCATTTCTTATTTTCATGCGTTATATTTTCAAACTTATTTTTACTTTTTATTATACAGACGCGCGCACATATCGGCGCGTGTGCGTTTTTAGGGCTTAATGAGCAGTATGTTAAAAGTAGCTTATTAAATAATCAATTACTACTTGGTTATGCAAATGAGCGTAAAATATAAAATATTTCAGAGAAAAAGAAGACCCGAGAGGAGGGAAATGTTTTATCGAGTACATAAGTTTTTAATTATCTATCGATAGATGAGCTCTCGCAAGTTGACGCATCCGCTTCCTTCTAATATGACAAAAATAACATTATCTTTTTCACTTTGATAGTCTTCTTCATTATTTTAGCAATTTTATTTCCCTCGGAGATTAATGTTTAGTTATAGTTTAAATGCACAAGAGGGAACTACAAATACATCCCTACTTTGTACACTGAGTTTTTCATAATTTTTCTCAATTATCTATGGTCTTGAGACACGTTGTTATCGAAAGGACAGACTCGGCTATAATTCTAATAAAATTCTTTCCTTAAAAAAAAAAAAAAAAAAAAAAAAAAAAAAAAAAAACAATCTAATGACTGTCTATTCAATAATATAAATGTAATTTAAATTGCATTAATAGTCGTGTTAAATATGTGACGCCAACATTTCTCTTTATATTCAATTGAGATAATGATAATGTAAACAGTGATTATCTATATTACACGCAATTATCCTTCGTAGTGAAAAGATTCCGTTTATTTATTCTATAAAATTTAATAATTTTTCAAACAAAGTTCTATGATATTAATAATATTTTTTGCCTTATCCCCAACAATCTACATGTATTATGAAAATGATAATAAAGCTTGGATTGCTATCTTATTAAATTGTGATATATTACCTTAAAATTACACATTCTCTCTCTCTCTCTCTCTCTCTCTCTCTCTCTCTCAGCTCTCACGATGTAGAAGTTATTTCGATTTACACTCGAGCTATAATAATCTTTATAAGTCACTTACATTTCATTATTTATTCTATCGCTCTACCATCATTATTTATAATTAAACAAAAACAATTAATACTACAACAGACTGATAAATAAGATTATATCGCGCAGATTTATGATAAATAAATGGTTTTTCGCGAAGGGGGCAGAAGCCTGGAGAATATCCTGGAGCAGCGCGTACGACAGTGAAGAAACAGGCTCCATTACTTGATTAACGGGAATGCGTACTAAATTGCATGGATATGCGATGAAGGC